TTCGTAGTAAGTTGATTTCATTACATTGCTAGCATCCGGAAAAGAAAACTGACGTGCATGTAGCCTGTGTTTTCGAGGTCTACACAGAGCTGTCTGAGCATCGTGCTTCGTGCACTATGGTAGATGTTGACTGGAAGTGCCATTTCAGTGTGTGTCAATCAATTAGACTCGCAAGCACTCCTCACATCAATTTTGGTGGTAAACAATTTCCATGATATGAAAATCCACCACAAGTTTGTGCCACCTTAATTCATTTGTGCAGATTCGTAAGTCTACTGTAATTAGTTTGAGTTGTGACAAATGTGGCAATGCAGCATAGCAGGTGGTCGTGTGGCGTCTGGAAATTGACCATCCGTGCCAAGTCTCCAGTTGCATATGGGACGGAGTGTGGCGGTGATGTGCAAGTAGAAGCTGAGCTATTTGTCAACCTACTTAATTGAGAACTAGTGAGGTGATGTATGCAGAGGGTGAGTGGGAATTGCACACAATGCTTTCCACTGATGCATTGTTTGACAAGTCCAAATGAGTCAACCTGAAAGCGGCAACCACCAGCCTACACGCGACTACACGGCACGTTGTGCACTGTCAATACAGCAATGGTGCCGAAACGACAAGCAGGTGGAGGGATTGTGTGATGGAGTTCTCAACCAGATGTGGGCAGTCAGGACACGAAGACGATGGGTAGGTGGATGGGTAGGTAGATAGGTGGAGGCGAATGCACAGGCGAAAGTGATTGCGAGGTGCTTGCAGAAACCTCCAACTCTACAACACTACACCCTCCGACGTCTATATCTGTCACAAGTCAATCCAACCTTTCCTTGGCAGACTACATGATGTCTGTTGTTTCCTACTGCCTGCATTTGCGGCCTCTTCATTCATTTTATAATCTAGTATATCCTGAATTTACTTACAACACCTTTACTTATTCAATAACCAATCATCATTGGTTTGCTTTTCGCTTTTGTACCATCGTTCTTCAATGTACAACTCCACTGATGACTATCCATTTACTTTTAGGCAACTTGTCCCACTGGGAGTTCTGTGAAACAGCTCG